GAAAACGAGAGAAAGTCCCCACCTTCGGTTGATTGAAAAGAAGAAGAAAGTCTCGGTGGGAATACTTGATTCTAAGTCGGATGAGCAAAAGAATTCGCTGGTAAGCAAACCGGTTAGCTAATGTTCGCTTCTCCGGGGAAAGCCTCAGTTGTGGGCGTAGACAAATTCATAGCTTGACTACTTTCCCTTACGGTGGTCGATTTCAAGTGTCTTTCCTAACCTCGATCATCAAACTCTTTCTACCCCAGAAAAGTCTCTAGTCGGTCTTTCTATTTCGTATCCTATCTTTAGCTTCCAATCTTGATCTTTTTCTTTAGCCACGTATAAGAACGTCGTTTCTTGCATTATAGCCTTTCTATTCATGACAGGTGTGATCCTGTGAGGATCTAAATTCAAATGCTTTTCTCGTAGGCCATGCCTTAGCTGCTTAGCTCTTAGGATTCCTAGGTTAGGAGTCAAGATCCAAAGTCAATCCGAGATCCCCTTCTTCTTTGAATATATTAGTCAAGCCGAGCACAAAAGCATATCCCATATCTAACAATCCTGGTCACTCACAACCATAAGCTTACTCCAGTCAAGATGTATTATCATATATTAAGGAAAGTAGAACCAAAGCTTACGCTGGTAACTGAGCAACCTCCTCCTCGTAAGTGGCACACTTAGCAAGTCTTTCTCCTACTTTTGACACAACAGGTTTGGCTGAAATGGATTCAATTACCAAACTACGCGAAAAAGTATCCCTCCGGGCAGATAGGGCCGACCTACAAATAGAAGGGTGAGGCATTAGACTAGAGGCCGGAGCTGTAGGAATAGGCGTACCACTGGCCGGAGGCCACTTACCTGCGAATTAGGGAGCGATGGGAAGTGCTTCTTCATCCGCCAAACTAGTACTCCCTGTTTCATCCAATATAATATATAAATAAGCAGTCTTTTTATAAAAAAATAAGGAAAGCCTACTTATAACCAAAGGCTTACACTGTGGCAGCTGAGTGGCCCCCTCCAGCATAAGAAGATAGATCAACTGCAAGCCTTAGAGGCATTGAGGAACCTCTGTTAGACGCAACAGCCCATTCCATGTCAGCAAGAGCGGCTTATGGCAAGCCCGCCTATAGAAAGTGAGTCCTACCGCTTCCTTTTCCCGATTCGCTTTTTCCCTTTTGGTGGATCGGCCAGGACTTTCGAACCCAGTAGATGAGTCAACTACGTTATTTTCGACTCCATTGTAGGAGACTTTTCCATCAACCGGCTTGGGCCATTGCCAATGCAAAAGGGCTATTCTCTGAATGTCATCCATTTCTTTTAGGATTCCTTTTGTCGTAATACGTAATAAAAAAAAAGTTGTGGCCACCCAATCTCCAAGGTGAATTCTCTTATATAGATATAGATAAAGAGTGTCCCGCTCTCGCGGAAGAATTCCCTCACCCATAGGCGTTGACCCTTATTCTTATTATTATTAATAAGCAAATTGAACTCCTCTGTTCCGTGGGATATTATTTTTCGTATCCTGTCAACCTTCTTTGTCCGTGGGATATTCTTTTCCCTCACCCATAGGCGTTGACCTTCTGTTGATGGGTAAGAATCTCTTATATCACGTGGGATATTCTTTTTCGTAACCTGTCAATCTTACTTGAGTTTAGCAACCCTCGATTAGCTCGTTCGTGAGCAGCACCGGCTGAACTTGAGGAGCATGCCCCGAGACTGACACTCCGGTTACTTCATCAGCAAGAAGTGATATGCAAGAATCTTTCTTCTTCTATATAGACTCTCTCGGTGGCCACTTTTTTTCTTCCTCTGCTCAAAGGAAGATGGAGGGAGAAAAAGGGAATCTATCGGCTTAGGAAAGATAAGACTTCTCGATTCCACCGACTGTTACTCGTACCCAAAAGCCAATTGGGCGGTGTGGTTGAGATAGGATCCTATTTCCATCCAGAGGATAGGAGTTAGGTAGGCGGGTACACTCTTTCCTTTTAGCAGCCCTCTCCTTCCACTTCCCCTTTGGCATGCTCGCTTGCTGCCAATCTACTTGAATTGAACTTCACATGTGTTAAGCAAATAACGACCGTTGTTACGAAATCGTAAAAATGAGCTCAGAACCGGGGAACAGCAAAATAGGGCATTTCGCGAAAACAGTTTACTAACGAAATGACTCTTTAAGGTGATCCTGGAAGTGGCCACTTATGAGTGAATCATAAAGAAATCCCCGAGTTTAGCAACTCGATAATACACCAATCTGAGCATGCACAGGATTCAATAGGAGATGATCTTTTGACGTCATAAAAAGAAAAGAAGCTCTCCTATCTTGAAAGGCCGGAGGTAGCAAAAAAGTTGGATCTTGCCACAATGAGTGAAGACTAAGTGGTACTCTTGTTTCCATCTACGGATGGAGGGGGTCAATTATACAATACTACTATGAAAAAAAAAATTGGACCTTTACGCGGGAGAGCGAGGGCAACATAGGCAGCGTCTCTTCTTTCCAAATATGGACGGGGTTTTAGAATATCAAATTCTTTGGCATGTCCGATCGAGTGAGAGAGATCCTACCTCCTTCCATCGTGCTGATTCGATCTATGATCCCCCCTTTTGCCTTCGACGCCTCTCTTCTGTCTCTCTTTTTTCTTCTTTCTTTTTCTGAACTTCGTCATACGTCTGACTTCATTTCGCTTCGCTTCGTTTGTTCCTCAGATTTTAGTCGAGCTTCACAAGCTTGCCTCGTAATATGGTCGAGATCTTCTTAGCGGCCTCATCGTCATGCGTCTCAAACGATCATAAAAGCCTCATATCGAGCTTGTAATGAACGTTGTTCTTCTTTAGCCCTTTTTTTTTATAAATAAAAAGCTCCGATAGCTTTACAATTTCAAATAGTTGAAAGAGTTTCTACTGATTGCCTAAAAGAACTTGATGGAAGAGGCTTTCTCATCTCTAAATCAAAATCACACTTTCACTTTCTTGAACAGACTTTGACTTAACAACTTAAAAGATAGGCATCTCGTATTCAAGATGCGAGTAATATTTCTCTTTTATATTCTATATTGGCTAGAAAGATGCTTTTGACCGCGCATCTGCTATTCCTAAATGCTTCTTGCTCACTGGAAGGATTGCCAAAAAAAAAAAGAATGACCAAAGGGCAGACAAAGCTAAGGAGAAGGGATTTTCTTAACTGGGACTTCAAAAAGATCGGCAGAGCGTACGACTTTTTCTGGTCTGACTCCTGGAATAGAAAGAGATGGCCTTGGGAACCTAACTCTAACTGGGTAGTCTGATCTTTTTTATGCAATTGGATGTTTAACCAAAGGCTTCTACAGACTCCTATCTGACAAAGAGACTATAATGTAAGGAAACATGACTGGAAACTCTTACCACCTTACCTTATCGGGGTAGAACCAACTCAACGTCTCCCTTAAACAACAATAAGAAGAGAAGCAACTCACTTGCCCACTCGCTGTAACGCACTCAAGAATAATTCCAATGATTTAGGTTTTTTCTATGGATACTAACTAGTGCCTCGAGAGGGAGGAAGAAAAGAAAGCCTTGAAGAATCTAGTGAAAGTGAGTGCTTTCTAACTCCAGCAGAAAAGGATAGCCCTGTAGATGCAAAGAAGCTTTCTCCTACTGTCACACTATGTGGAATCCCATTTTCACAGAAAGGGCTTATGACTGGCCCAGAACTAGTAGATGGCAGAATATTATTTTTCTTAGCATGGAAGTCCCGGTACGCTAGGTAGTTGGGCACGGCCTGCACAGTTTGAAATGAATCTCCTTAGAAAATGGATCTGGCCAAGGTCAATTATATCGAGCCAGCAAGAAAATGGATGCGCTAACGTGCAACGGCTTTCGCGCTAGTTGCTCAATCCGTTGCTTGTTCCTCTGGAGCTTTCGTTTAGCCTGGAGAATGAGAATTGCATTGGCTTTCTTCTCCTGCATATCTATGGGGACAACCTCAATTTGGTGAACCAGGAATCAAAGTCAATTACCAGCCGAGATGGGATTTCACTGCTAAAAAGCTCCTCATCCTCTCTCAGTCTCTTTGCAGATCAGCAAATTGATCTTCTTTCCACTTGGATTTGATGACTACAATAGATACCTCCATTGAATTGACAAGAATTAAGTCATGGAAGATAGCGTTCATGGCCTTTTGGTAAGTGGCTCTCGTGTTCTTAAGCTCGAATTACTATCCACTCATAGCTTCCGAATGCCCCCGGGCATCGAAATGCTATGAGTGGATATCGTCTTCGGCTATCTAAATGGAGCTCGGCAGTCCTACGTCAAGATGAGGTTCTTGATCAGAAGGCATGGCTACCATTGGCCAGGCATAGCTAATTTCACCTTTTATGCTAAAGCTTGGATTCATGAAAAGGATCCAAGCCACTTAAGGGCATCCCATAGTTAACCGCGACCATTTATAAGGTGGACTCTTGAGGCAAGATTTTTCTGCCATCAAGAAAACAACAGATTTTTTACTTGTGTCTATTTACTACTTCACTAAGTCGGTATAAGGCATTTCTCTAAAGAATGTGAATCAGAAGAGGCTTGATATAATTGACCTGAAATATTATAGATAGGTTTGGCATCACACAGGCAATCACTGCTAAGGATCTATCTTTACTGGTGATCTCTTATATCGAACGGTCTTGTAAAGGCCAAAGCCCCCTCACCATTGAGGTTATCCAAACCCCAATAGTGAGCTAAAGAGAATATGTATTACACCTCCTATTTTGGATCCTCCCAGAGAGGCAACACCACCGGTCTAGAATCTAGACCTAAGGATTGAACCATGTCGTAGCACTTCCACATGAGACCAAACCTAATAAGATTTTCATCTTTTGGGTTACAGTTACAGTTCCAGTGAGTGATTACGACAGGTGCCCCCACGAGGAGATCCTCGATAGAAAGCCATAGGTCCATTGCAGTAATGCAATTCCAACGAAGCAATTTTAACCAGCTCTCCATCCAACACCGGAGTAAAGACCACTCAAGGAAGTCTTTGCGACCAGGTTGTTCAAACAAAATATTCATTAGGAACTACCTTCAGATCCTTCGGTTTCAATTCCTGTAATAGGAACTGAATCAGATAGGACCTGAGGTATGGATTTAGAGGTCTGCCCCTACCTAACCATATTGTTAAGGGTAGAAGGGTCCTCCACCACATTGCAAGTCGCCTCTCGGTCATGAGGGACCGCTTGTAATCAATTCGATCAAGAGCCCGATAACCAAGACCACCTATCCGACAAAGGGTACTTAACCTAGTAATCCTTTCCGAATATTTGTTCCGAATGGCCATAAGACCATTGTGGTGATAGTAGTTACTTAGGCAACGGATTGATATTGGACTTAGATCCTCACTCACTCCATTAACCATTCACTTCTTGGCAAACTCTATGCATCCGCTATTCGAGATAAGGGATTTTGGTAGCGAAACCCCAAGTCGTTGAAGAACGGATTTATATACTGATGCTACTTTTGCATCGGCAATGACAACGTCATCATCGAGCACTGCATACTTTTTAAAGCGGACACCATCAGTGGCAGTGGTCAAGTCGTACGAGAAGCATTCCTGGCTTCCGATCAACCAAGGCAACGGTGTAGTTTGGTTGAAGGTACCATCTTGTGGTATCCTCTTTAGTATCCCCAAAAACCAACTATGGATCAGACAGAGCAACCGCTGGGAAAATCCAGGATCCATATATTGTATCATAAAAAACCCATGTGAAAAACTGATCCCAATTCCCATTCATCGCTCAAAGCGCTTAGTGTCTAAGGATCCTTCATACTGGTGTGGTCCGGGCTCTGATCTCTGGCATTTCCTGTGCTCCAGAAAGAATGAAAAGAGATCCTCCGTTCTAGTATAGAGTAGTAATCTTCCATTCATTATTGAAAAGCACAGGCCAGACCAAAGATTCAATTGATTGGCAAATACTCCTTGAAGATTGATATTTCAAACCTTCCTCTTTGCTTTGTCTTGCTTTTATCCAAATTCCATTTTTGTTCAGTTTCTTTCTTTGCTTTCCTAGGCTAAATGTTGGGAAAAAATCACTATGGTAGCGCCTTCTTCTATCAATGGTGCTTTTAATCTCTTACCTTCTCTCCTAAGAAGTGAGGTATGAAGTACTTCTACTGGCAAAAAAAAATCAAACTTGCCGCTAACGCCCTACTTGACTAAGCTTGCTCATGCCAAAGGTCAATTGCATCTTTAGAAGCAAAGTGAAGAAAAGGAATAGTAAGGACAGAGACTGCTTTCTTAACAAATTGCATAAGGAATGAAAACGAAGCGGCTATCCTAGAAAGAGCCCATCAAGGGGAATACTGAGACTCAATCAAACCCAAGGTCAGGGTCAATGTAATTGAGGAGTGGTATAATGAGATTCTTACAATCGGAGGAAGAATCCTATTCTAGAAAAAGGCAAAAGGCCAGCGAGGAACTGAAAGTGACAAAAGAAGGAGCCTAATATAATAGAAAGGCAATGGGCCCTCGTGTTGACCGCCTCGTATACATCACTCGTATGGGACCTTTCGGAGGTACCAACCACATCCTACGCTCCTCCGCCTCTCCTTCATGTGCAACCCTATTGCCCCACTCCCATTGAGGCAGAGTAAATAACTGAAGCTAGTGGCTTAATTGTGATAATGTTATATGCACTGCGGCGATAGAGGGAAAGTTGATGATTTATGTCAGTTATAAGCTTGCTAGCTTGTAGTGATCAGGGGCTTAATACATCTTTGTAAGTATGAGCTTACACTTGTAAGGAGGCAGTTTGCTAATAGAAATCTCTAGTTCCTTCAGAGCTCTGTATCGCCGATAGACTACTTTTAGTCGCCCCTACTCTCATCTGCATGACGAAAGCAGACTATGTTTGAAAAGTCCAACCCCCATCCCACTCTTTAAAGCAAGCCTAGATCGAGAGCATTCCGTCTTACCGCTTTCATATGGTTTCAAGCGTGAATACCCCTTTTAGACGGCCTCCGAAGCTCGAACTCCGCACAACAAGACTCCAACAGTATTAGGCGCTGATCTTAAGATAGGATTGAGCATAGGTGGCAGAAACCGACTTCATCTGGGATAAAAGCGAAACAAAAGGGGGGCGCCCTTGGATCGATACCTTCAACCTTTCCACATCTAGCTGAGGCATGGTCCAGGCTACGTGTTTCACGCGTTAGTTTATCCTAACCCAGAGAATTTCCGCTATTACATCACCACAAGGGGATCTTGCAAAAACCGCTTTCCTGCAGGAGCACGTGGCAACCCTTCTTGACCCCCATCTCTTAGTGGGCCTCTCTCTCTATGAACGAGTGCCTGCCACAACCATGCTGAGCTACAACAAAGCATGATGGGAGAATGGAAGGAATGAGCCGTGGATGATATTAATATTGATTTTGGTCACCCGGTGGGACGAAATCAAAAGCAGGCTTTTCAGTCCAAACAAAGCAGAATTTCTTCAAGAATCCAAAATTTTCGGTTTTACCGGCATAGAAGTAATGATCAAATCAGTTCTTCAAGCTATCCCAATCTATTCAATGGGATGTTTTCTACCGAAAGCCCTTTATTAGTTAGTCCTAGATGGCAGAATTTCATTTTTCTTTACTAGTAGATGGCCACAGATCGCAAAACAAGCAACCGAGCTGGTGGAGCAACGTATATCGTTAGAAGGATGGCCTCAGTCTTATGATGGTCAAACTGGTCGATATGTAGGGAAGCAAGGAAGTACCAGACCCGGAGCATTTCGGGCTATTTGCTTGCAAAAATCTTGGTGGAGAATCCTGCCAATCTTTCGATCGATCGTCTCTTGAACTCCCGTCTAGTTGACTTTCTTTTTTTCTCAGTCTAATCTCCCTATTTGGACTAGTAAATCGTCTTACCGAGACCCGCACATACAAAAATAAATGTAGCTAGTGAAGTACGAGTCTTCTTAGTTCCGATCCCCAAAAACAAAAAAAAAGAAGAATTTCTACCAAAGTTTTCATGTTGTTGATTCCTAGGCGTAGTGCTTCTTCCTCTATGCCGCCTATAGGTACTAGTGGGGTAGGGTTAACCTGCAATATGGAACCCCATAGACCTTGGTGTAACCTTTCGTTCAATGCTAGAATTGATAATTGAAGCATCTGAGGCTGCATTAATCGGGGATACCAGACAGAAGGAATTGTTTTCTTTATAAACTTAGAAAATTCACCTTCAACAAGCGTAGAGTAGAGTTTTTTCAAATCTTTCTATCCCGACTAATGTGTCTTTCACCTAAGACTTGAAGCGATAAATAAAAAGAAAGAAAAAATCTCTTTATCCCCGAAGGAAAGTTCTTTATTTGAATTTTCTTCTTTTCTATTTTTCTTTTTCTAGTTAGAATTGATTGTACGTACCATATCTACTCAACAATCTAATAAGAATGATTCGCGATTCACTAAGTTTCTGGGACATAATCATTATGTAGGAGAGATGGTCGACTGGTTTAAGGCGTAGCATTGGAACTGCTATGTAGGCTTTTGTTTACCGAGGGTTCGAATCCCTCTCTTTCTGTACCTGAACTTAATTTGAAAATGTTATTACTGATCGCAATGTATCAAATCACATAAGAATGGATACCTTTATTCCAAGAGTTAGACCTTTCCTTTCTTCCTGCTTTTAGAGAGGACGAAGAAAGTTGCTCTTGTAGCTAAGAGTTGATTCGTTGTTGCGGTGTAGCTATTGCAGCTAAGAAAGTAGTTCTTAGAATGAGTGGAATAATTCCTGCTTAGATTGCATCTAATGCAGCTTAGAACGAAGCTAATCCTTAATCCATTGTTGCTCAATGCTTAGAGAGTAGCCGGCTAGTCCCATCTACGAATAACTGGAAATCCAACAAAGGAAGATGCCATACCATGAAAGGAGGGTACTACCCTAAAAGCAGTACTTCCCTACCTGGAAATCTTGCTTGCTCTTAGAGTTGAATTAGAGTGAAAACTGTAAATCAATCTTTGCTTCGAATCACCTTGTCTTTCGGGTCCTACACTTCAAATACAAAGCAAGAATCTTAAAAAAGGCATATAGAGCACCCGGATCCTACTCTGTAGAGAGAAACGGAACTCTCTTCCTAAACTCCATAAGTAAACGACTACTTACTTTGTCCACTCCTAAATCAGTGAACCGGGGAAGCGAACTCCTTTGGTTCGTTCAATCAAAACGACTTTTAAAGGGTTGTAGAAAAGTAAGCTTAGTCTTCTCTCTCTCTTTCCTGTTAAATGAAAAAAAAAAGTAAGGTTGAAAAGGTAATGGGAGACTCTATAGTTACTGATTACGTAGACCGACGCCTTCCATTAGACTTTCCCTTCGTCTGTCTATTCACTCTCGCCTTGAGCCAGAGCCCACCATACACGAAGACTAGTTAGACTGCCTATACAACCTTCTTTTTTTTCCATGGAATTTCTTTTGATTTTAGAAAGCAGAACTCATGGTAAATAAGCACAGAAATAGGTAAAGCGAGAGAGAGCCTACTAGACTAGACTGATCGCCGCTGAAAGTAGGGATGAGGGCAATTATCATCGCGCCTGGTCGAACATAAAAAGAAAGTTGACTAATCTCCTATGTTCTCTGTAACACCCTCGAGAGGATCGACAGCGGTAACGGCGTGAACTCCGATGGCATCGAGACATCGTCGTGAAATGAAAGTATGTGTCGCTCCAGTATCGAATAAAGCAAACACAGGAATATTATTGAGAACAACCATCCCTGACATAGTACCTGGCTGTTGTGCTGCCTCTGCCTGAACAACTGCGTAAACCCTGGCCTGCTGTCTGCCCCTCTGCTGCTGCTGCTGAGGCGGCCTCTGTGCCTACTGACGTGGCTGCTGCTGCTGTGGTGGCTGCTGAGGCTGTTGAGGGTGCTGCTGAAGTCTCTTTGGACAGCGACTCGCAAAATGTCCCGGCTCATGGCAGTAGTAGCAGATGTCCTGTCCCACATGGCACTCTCCTCGATGAAGTCGACCACAAGTCGGGCTCGGTGGAATCGGCTGCTGTCTCTGTCGAGTCCTCCGGTCAGTTTGTGCACCCTTCCCCTTCCTCTTCTTCTCCTTTGCCGGCTGAGGGGCTGGTAGAGCTGGTGGAGCTGCGAATGGCTGAACTGGAGCAGATGGCTGGGAACGATCATGAACTGCCTCCCTTCTGATGCTAGCGTCCACCTCCTGGACGATAGAAACTGCGCGAGCATAGGTCTGAGTCCCGTGTCCCACGATGTTGTGACGGACTGCTGATAAAAGCCCGTCAATGAACCGCTGCGCTCTCTGAGCCTCCGTGCGAACCAGATCTGGTACGAAAGCTGCAAGTTTAGTGAACTCTCGCTCGTACTCATCAACAGTACGAGTGCCCTGCTGAAGCGCTAAGAACTGACGCTCCATCTCTGCCCGATAGTAGGAAGGGTAGTACTTTTCACGGACTAGATCCTTGAACATGTCCCACGTACAACCCGCTTTTTCACCAGGACGCATGCTCCAGTAGGCATTCCACCAGAGCCTAGCATCACCAGTGAGCTGAAGCTGAGCACAAACTACGCGATACCTATCGGGGCATTCCATGACCTCAAAGATAAATTCCAACCCCTGAATCCATTCATCAACGATGCGGGGGTCTCCCTGTCCTGAGAACTTTTCGGCGTGATAGTCGCGGAACTGAGCGACTACCGTAGCCTGAGAAGGAGCCTGATGATCGGGTTCCCTACGTGGC